GGCTTTGCAGTTGCTAATTTGGAAAAACGCTTCCGAAGTCACAGCATCGCCTCTGCTGTAGTGGCTCAGGGCGCAGTGCATCTCTAAAGTCCCTGTTTTTAATGCCTTAAAGTCTAGTTGTTATTTTTAACTGGAGAAGAGAAGAGTTGAGGGTCCGTTCCCCCAAGAGCCTGAGGTGGCTCTCTAAGGCCTCAGTGGTGGCAGAAGACGCGGGGGCCGTAGCTGGGGGGACACGGTGGGGGAGGGTGCTGCGGGGCCCCTTCCTCCGCTCGGACCTCAGACTGTGTCTGGGCCAGGTCCGAGGTTCTGCCTAGTTCCCATTGCCTACCCCTGTGCAAACATCACAAGTTCTAGGGACAAAACCTGCCACTGGGGCACCAGAACTTCAAAGAAAACCCCAGAGAAAGCAGTAAAACAGTATTCCAGCTGGATGTTGTGGCGTTCACCTGTAATCTCAGTACTCTGGGAGGCTGAGGCAGGAGGATCGAAAGTTTGAGCCCAGCGTGGGCAACTTAGCAATTTAGTGAGACTCCCATCCAAAAATAAAAATTAAGTAAGGGTTGAGGAAATAGATTAGTGCGAAGGCCCTGGGTTCAGTCTCTAATATCACCACAACAAAACAAAACAAAAAAACCCACATTAGTCCCTAAGAACCAATTGGAAAGTGTGTAAGGGAGAGTTCAAGAGCCACTTAAAAATAGGCTAGCCTTTTTTTTTTTTTTTTTTTTGGAGGTAAGGTCTTGCTATGTAATTCAGGCTGATCTTGAACTCACTATGTAGCCCCCGGCCCCGAACTTGCAGCAATCTTCCTGCCCCAGCCTCCTGAGTGCTGCGATTACAGGTGTGCGCCATCATGCCCCGCTCTACATCATTTCAAAGCATATTTAAGGGCCAGGGATTTAGCTCAGTGGTTCCACCGCCTTGCAACCACAAGGACCCAAGTTTGATCCCTGGTACCAAAAAAATAAATAAATTAAATAAAGCCTATTTAAGAGGCCAGATGAATGGGGTTTTCTTCCTTTTATGAACTTTTGGGTTTGTTTTGTTGTTGTTGTTTTTGGTACCGGGGATGGAACTCGGGTCCTTGTGCTTGCGTAGCAGGTGGTGAAACCACTGAGCTAAGTCCCTGGCCCCTTGGGTTTGTTTTTATTTCTTTTAATTTTTATTTTGGCAGTAGGAATTACCACACATTCTCCTTTCCCTGTTTAATTTTCTAATACCTAGGTTACTACTAAATTCTCTTTGTTAAAAATAGGTGTTTTAGGGGCCAAGGATTTAGCTCACTGGCGGCACACCTGCCTCACAACTGCAAACTCCTAAGTTCAATCCCTGGTGCTGGAGGGAAAAACAAACCTGTTTTAGTTCTTCTTTTGCTAATTGGACTCTTATTGGTACAAGTGGATGGATTTGCATTTTCTAATATATTAGTATTTCCTCCATATCTCCCCCCTCTCCCGTTATGTCCCCAGCCCTTTCTTTTTTTTTTTTTTTTTTTTTTTTTTGCTTAAATTCTTTTATTGGTACATTTTAGGTATACAGTACATTTACATTTATCATTGGGTGCTTGTACCTGTACATGATGTATCTTGGTTCTTATTTTTTCCCCATTACCTGTGCGCCCTTCACCCCTCCACCCTTCCCTATTTACATAGACTTTGTTTCGGTTTTTTTTTTCTTTTCTCATAGTTTTTCCTCTCCCTTCTTTCCTTTCCCCATCTCCTCCCACCACCCCTATCCCTTTGGACCTTTTCCTATTTCAAAGTATCAATTATTAGTTATTAATCCTTTTAATCCTTATTTACACTCTCAGTTTCTCAAGAGAAACTATTCGGTGTGTCCTATTTATTTCACTTAAGAGTATGGCCTCAGGGCCAGGATTTAGCTCAGTGGTTTCACCACATGCTGCGCAAGCACAAGGACCCAAGTTTGATCCCCGGTACCAAAAAACAAAACACAAAAGAGTATGGCCTCAATATGCATCCATTTAGCTATAAATGACTCTAGTTTCTCATTCTTTATGGCTGAGTTGTACTCCGTTTTATAAAAAAAAACACCACATCTTCTTTATCCAGTTTCCAGTTGATGGGCACTTGGGCTGTTTCCAAGCTTTAGCTTCTTTTTTATTTTGAGACAGGGCCTCACTAAGTCACTAAGCTGCCCCAGCTGGATGTGAGATCAAAATCCTCCTGACTCAGCCTCCCAGAATGCTGAGGTTACAGGCGTGCACCACCTTAAGCCCCTTCAATTTCCTCTTATCTTTTTTTCAATACCAGGAATCGAATCCTGTGTATCTTTAAAGGCTTGTCCTCTACCACCAGAAATCTTTGAAATTAGTGTTCATCTGAGCTGAGCTAAAGAAGGAGCAAAGAATCAGGAGTCAGTAAACCTAAGTCGCAGTCCAGTCCATTGCTTGCTGAGTTCTGTACCATCTCTTAGCCTCAGCTTACCTTTCTAGAGGGCATGTGCTTCCTCCCTGTCTCAGGTGTGTGGAGGGATCCGATGAGACAGTCAGTGCACACAAACACGGCTCCTGGTCACACGTGTAACCCCACAGTAATCAGGTAGTGTGACGTGAATTTTCTCCACCAAAGGTGGAGCGATCAGATTTCACACCCTGACCTGAGCTGTGCTGGGGACGTGTGCCCCTCCGAGTGCCTGCACTACCCCTGCCTCACGTAGCTACACTTACTTTGAACTAAATTGAATTAAAGAATCTATTTCAGGGTTGGGGATGTAGCTCAGTGGTGCCACTGGCTGCCTTGCCAGTGCAAGGTCCTGAGTTCCATCCCCAGTACCTCAAAAAAAGGATCCATTTCATCCGAGGTGCAGGCGATCACAGACTGCACCCCCTGTTGCCAGATGCTGGGTCGGAGCCCAGCGTGGCTCAGGTCCCCTGTGGGTCACCGCTCATCGGTGCCCAGGCCTGGGTGCACTCGGAGCACAGGCCCTCGGGTCGCCAGATCCCTTTCCCCAGATATCTCTGTGCTTTGTCACCCCTCTTCATTCGGGTCGCTGACAAGCCAGGTCATCCTGAATTTTCCATAAAAAATTCGTATTTCTGCCCTCACTGCGCTCTAACTCTAGCCTGCTTCCCCGGACGTGGCACTTAACACTACCCGGTACTTACTGCTATATTTTTCCCTGCCTTTCCTGCTAGGAATCTTAGTTCCATTAAGGTGAAGATTTTGTCAATTTTGTTTACCACTATATTCCCAGTATCTCAAATACTGCCTAGCCCAGTGATGGTGAACCCTTTAGCGCTTTCAATAATACAAACAGCCCCTGTGGCAGGCATGCTGTACATTGGCCAACACTGGCCTGGCCCATCATAGGGCCTCAAAAAATACTTGATAGGTTAATGAGGGTATTTAGCAAGAAGACAGTAATTATGGTTCTGTGAACTTGAAGCTAAAGGTGCACTAAAGAGCAAATATGAGACTTTTTGCAAAAAGATTTGTCCTAACCAACATGCCTGGGGGAAGGGGGCTCAAGAAAGGGCCCTAAACTTGAAGTCAAAGAACTGATCTCAAATCCTGTCTTCACCATTACTAGCTGTATACCTCTGATAAATCCCCAACCTCCCTGAGCCTTTATTTTCTCATCCATACAGGGAGGATAATACTTGCTCTGCATAGTAGACTTGACTTTTTTTGTTGTTTTTTCTTGAGACAGGGTTTTGCTCTGTAATTCAGGCTGGTCTTGAGCTTACTATGTAGCCCAGGCTGGCCTCTACCTCAAGGTGATCCTCCTGCCTTAGCCTCCTAAGTGCTGGGATCACAGGCATGTGCCACCACTCCCGGCCTATACTCATTGTTTTAACTGTCTGCCTATGACTTATGATTTATGAGCTGTGATTTATCTTTTGTTCTCCTCAGATTTTTATTGGTTTTCTTCACTTTTATGTTCATAATTTATAAAATATGTGTGGTTTTGATCCTTTGCTGGTTTTGCTGAGCTTCCTTTCTCATCTTATTGATTGCTATTAAAAGATGCATAAGGCTTAAAATGCTGACATGAATGATGAGATAGTCCCACATCAAGAATCCAAAGCAAATTGTGGTTTAAGAGTGTATAAATAGAGCTTGGTGATTTTCTGTTGCATTTATTTGGAAAATGCATAATGACTAGGTTAGAGTTTTGTTTTGTTCTTGTTTTCTTATTTTATTTTATTTACTTATTTATCCTATTTTAAAAAGCTGGTTTGAGGTAGGAGGATAACCTAGGCCCAAGCTTAGCACCTCAAAGAAAAAACTGACTTCTAGAGAAGCAGCAGACAATTCTGATGACCTATTTCAATTTTCTGTACAATTGTAGCCATATTTATTTATTTTTTTGCCAGAGATTTACCTCAGTGGTTCCGGCGCCTGCCCTGCAAGCACAAGGGCCTGAGTTCTATCGCCGGAACCAAAAAAAAAAAGTTATTGAGATTTTTTTTTTTTCTTTTTTCCAGTACTGGGGATGGAACTCAGGACCTTGTGCTTGCCAGGCAGGCACTACAGGCATGTTTATTTTTTAAAAAAGAATAAGAGCTGGGCTGGGGATTTAGCTCAGTGTTGCCACCACCTGCCTCTCAAGTGCAGGGTCCCGAGTTTGATCCCCAGTACAAAAAAAAAAAAAGAACCAGGCATGGTGGTACATGGGAGGCTGAAGCAGGAGCATTGCTGCAAGTTCGAGGCCAGCCTAGGCTACATAGTGAGTTCAAAGCCAGCCAGAATTACAGAGCAAGACCTTGTCTCAAAAAACCTAAAAAAAGAGATACTGTTGAGGTTATTGCCACTTTAAATTCCCATTCTGTTCGCCGTGCCAGGCCTGAGTAGAGAGAGGCAGAGGGCCCCTTCACGTTGCGTGTCTCTCCCTGTACTGATCCATGTGCACTCGTTAGCTTCCTTTCTGTTGGTGATAGAGACGATGCCTGCATACGGAGGACAATGGGTCACTATGTGCGACTCTTCTCAGACTTACTAAAGACCAGGCCCACTGGCTCTCTCTGGGTTTCCTAGACTAGAGAAGAAGACAGGAATGGAGATGGGAAGATGGACATGTTGCATTTTAAACTGGAGCTTCCCCTGCAGTCCACAGAGCACGTCCTCGGTGTGCAGCTCATCCTGACCTTCTCATACCAGCTGCACGTGAGTCAGTGCCTAGGGAGGCCTGTCCCTCCCTCCTGTCTTTTCATAGCACAGAGCCTGCCTCCTGCTTTCTAGGAGCTGTCCTGGGGTGTCATGGGGAATTTAACATAGGAAAACGGAATGTTCTTCATTGGAGTCCTATTAATTTATGAGAATGAGAAATAGCTCAGAGGGCCTGGGCAGAGCGTTTCCCACAGAACTGGCCCAGGTTTGTAAAGACCCTTTAGCTTCAGCCACAGACAGGTGACTGTTGGACCCAGAGCCCTTCAGATGTGACAGCAGTTGTGTATTCTCTCCTCCTGATGATTTCAGAGGATGTCGACATTCGTGATGCAGAGCATGGCCTTTCTCCAGTCTTCCTGCGTGGTGCCGGGGGCCCAGCTGTACGTGAACGGAGACCTGAGGCTGCAGCAGAGGCAGCCGCTGAGCTACAGCGGCCTGGATGTCCGATACAATGTAAGGATGCAGGGCATCCAGCTCTGCTGTCTCTGCTGTTTAGCACCTTCTTTGAAGAGGGAGAAATAAAAGTTGGCAGTAGCATTTCCCTGTGGGTGACAGACAAGGACTCCTGAGGAATTCTTGCCATGAATTCTTTCAGAATATGGAGAAAGGGGCCAGGGATTTAGCTCAGTGGCACTGAGCCTGCCTTGCAAGCACAAGGTCCTGAGTTCGATCCCCAGTACCGCAAAAAAAAGATACACACACACACACATATACACATATAGAGAAGGTACACCTGTATTTACACCTATGTAGAGAGAGGGAAAAAATGTCTTTATTGACAAACTAAATTGCTTATTGCTTTCCAAATGATCATGTAAAATGTTCATGTAGAGCATTTTTAAAATAATACTGGCCCCCATTTATGGAACACGTAATATGCCAGCCCTGAATTAGGAAGTTTACAGCTGGGTGTGGGGATGGACACCTGTGGCCCAAGCCATCACAAGGCTGAAGCAGGAGGATCACTTGAGACCAGCCTGGGCAACATATCAAGACCCCAATCCCAAGGGGGAATAAAAGGTTTACACACGTCGTATTTCACCATTCCAGCAACCTCCCAAGATACCTACTTGTCATTTCTCAGTTCTCCACTGTCTGTCCAGCACTGCCGCCTTGCTGTGTTCCAGCCACTCTGGCTTCTTTGTTGTTCTTTGAACCCATGAACAGCGCCTGCCTCAGGGCTTTTGCACTTAGCATTCCCTCTCCCAGGTGACCATGGAACATACTGGGCCGCTCATTCTGGTCCCTGAGCAATGTCCTTTCCTGACCCTCTTTCCCAAATAGGCTTCGCCTTCCTCCAGCACCCCTCTACTGCCGCCAACCCTAAAAACAAGTTCCTGCTGCCTTTGGTTTCTCCCTGGGGGTTAAAAGCGCTGACATTCTATGTACCATCACCACCGCCACTGCAGTGCTGAGAACAGGAGGGGAGGAGGGAGGGCCAGGTCTCCTGAGCTCAACCTGGACCTCCTGCTGTGTCCCAGGTGTCTGTGATCAACGGGACCAGCCCTTTTGCCTACGACTACGACCTCACCCGCATTGTGGCTGCCTACCAGGAAAGGAACGGTGAGGTGTGGGGAGAGCCTGTCTGCTGCTCAGTCTCCTGGTTTGGGGGGCAGTGGAAACGATGAGAACCTTTGTCATCCTGAAAATCTCGGAACCAGCGAAGGTGCAGTGACAGGATGTGGACGGGTGTGCAGGATCCTTCCTTTCTGCTGCCATCATCCTGCCCACCCGTGCTTCCCACAACTCCAGCGGCCCCGAAGCTTCCCCGTACCTAATTGATTCGTTCCCTTACCATACCTGTAAGAGAAGCCCAGACAGTTTGCTCTCCCACTTTTCACTAGAAGAGAGGCTGCAGTTCACCCCACAGTAGCGACCCCTAGAGAGCAGAAGCAGCCATGGTTCTGGCTACAGGCTCGATGTGTTCAGTCCTTTCGGTGAGGGGCCCAGGCCAGCCTTGTGCTTGGTCAGTGTGCTGGGCCGGGCAGTCAATGGCCTGAGGTTTTCCTCTAAGGGCATCTCGTCTGCGGCTGTGCCACACTGAACACGAGCCAGGCTGTTGAAAGGCACCGAAAGGGTTACTTGGCAACCAGCCTCATGGACGCCACAGACAGACATTTCACAAGTGGTGAGCCCTGCAACTGCTGTATTTCTTCCTAATTTTGTTCGTTTTTGTTTTGTTTTGAGACAAGGCTTCCTTGCATAGTTCAGGCTGGCCTTGAACTTACTGTGGAGCCCAGGCTGGCCCAAAAATCACAGTGGTGATCTTCCTGCCTCAACCTCTCAAGTACTGGGATTACAAATATGCGTCACCACACCCAGCTTCTTCCTGATTTTGTACAAAACAACAGCAGCATTATTCCAATAATAGGACTTTTAAAACAAAACTGAAAATCGCCGGGAATTTAATTTAGCTCAGTGGTTCCACCACCTGCTTCTCAAGCTCAAGGTCCCAAGTTTGATCCCGGGTACCAAAAAAAAAAAAAAAAAACCACTAAAAATCATTAGCCTATAAATCAACTTTCCCCCCTTTATTTCATTCACTGTATATCCAGATGAAGATTTTTTTTTTCATACTGCTGTTACAGGAACACTTTGGGATCCAAATTATATTTATCTATATAATATAAATATTTCCCCCAAACTGCTAACAAGTTTTGATAGTATGTTTACTGGCAATATAGTACTTCAGGGCCGGGGATTTAGCTCAGTGGTTCTGCTGCCGGCTTCGCAAGCACAAGGACCCAGGTTCAATCCCTGGTACCAAAAAAACAAACAAACAAATATAGTACTCCTTCAGTTAGTCATTTTGGCAATTTTTTTTTTTTTTTTTTTTGGTACCGGGGATCGAACTCAGGTCCTAGCGCTTGCACAGCAGGTGGTACAACCACTGAGCTAAATCCCGGCCCGAGGCAAATATTTCAACAACGTGGGCTGGGTTACAGATGCACCTTCTTTTCCCTTTTGTTTCTTTGAACTCCAAAGAGCAGAATACATCCCCTACCTGCAGGAATCAAAGGACACTTACAGCCCAGCCCTCAGTGTTTCTAGGTATCTTTGCCAGAGAGTCACCTGGATTAATGGTGAATGCTTGTATTGCAGTCACCACCGTCCTGAACAACCCCAACCCCATCTGGTTGGTGGGCAGGGCCTCGGAAGCTCCCTTTGTGATTAATGCTGTCATCCGATACCCTGAGGAAGTCATCTCATATCCTTTCTGACTGAGCCAGCGGTGGCTCCGTTTCCACAGAGAAGGGAAGGGTTCTTCAGGGGTCCAAGCAGGAACAGCTGTGGCCAGGCTTATGCTGGAAATTGCTACTTCACTGTAGCCCCACAGAGATGGCTGCTGTTGGTTACAGGGAAACATTCATTTCCTGTTCCTGTTTCCTCCAGAGCCAAGCCTTTCTAGGTCAGAGTCATCCATATTTATGCCCAGATAATCTCAATTATCCCTTTTATCTTAAGGGTATTTGAGGCATTATTGCCATTTCCTGTGGCCTGCATGTGAGTGTCACTGTTCTCCTTAACCGTCCTTACTTACCAGCCAGGATTCTGGGAGATGATCAAGTTCGCCTGGGTTCAGTACGTCAGCATCCTGCTCGTCTTCGTCTGGATGTTTGAAAGAATCAAAATATTCGTGTTTCAGAATCAAGTGGTGACCACCATCCCTGTGACAACTATGTCAAAGGGAGACTTGTATAAGGAGCACTTATCCTGAGAAGACAGTTCTGAATGCTCCGCAGGCCCCCAGCTCCCTCGCTGTTGTCAAGTGAAGAGAGCCGTGGACACCTGAGGGCTTGTGTGGTTTTCCCCTCAGAGACAGCTCTTTTCACTTTTCTACACAAATTCTGTATCCGCAAAAGGGCAAAAATCACTGGGCACTGGTTTGTGGGAAGGTCAGAGGGCTCCCAGAGGCTATCATTTGTTGTTTTTGTGTGTTTGCTTGCCTTGCCCTTGAATCAAGAGAACCTTCCAGTCTGTTCAGGCATCTTGGAAAGAGTCCCATTTCTGGTCAAGCAGAGACGGTTGCTCTTTTGAACTGGAAGCACTGAGCATCTCTTCTCCCTATTGTAATCCACTTCGACTCTTTTCAGACCTCTCATGATGAATATGCAAATCCCTGGCTGGTTCTACTCCTGGGATCTACAGTTCCCACCCAGAGCTTTGATTCCCAGGACTGTCCACCTGCCCTCAGCCTGACAGACAACGTCTGTTGCCAGCCCAGCTGAGCAGCCCTCTGAGCCTACCCTGAGCTGGCTGGCTCTTTCCCCTGCTTCTTGCCCTGTGTCTGTGCCCCTGAAATGGCAGGCTGAGTCAGAAGTGCTGTTTCACTCAGTCCCTCAGCGGCGGTGGGGGGTGCAAGGGTTGTAACAACAGGTTCTTTCTCTTTGGCCCTCGACCAAAAGCTTGGACACTTGCCCCCCCATCCTCTCTGAGAGGACGTGGGTGACAGAGGAGCCTTTGTTGGTATTGGCTCCCCTGCCCGACAGCCACAGGGTTTATTTGGAGGGCTCAAGTGAAGCCCAGCTACTTATGCTTCCCTTGACTAGGGACAAGGTGCCCAGCACAGGGGCAGCTTTGGGGAGACACGAAGAGCAGGAGGCACTGAAGAGGCTGCTGGGCTGGGCATGCAGTGCAGCCTGGCCATTAGCAAGAAGACTAGCATTCCAGCAGCCACACAACCCTCTTGGCTGGCCAGGTGTCTGCAGGGTGACAGGCAACTAGAGAGGGCCTCTGTTGCACACAGAAGACATTGGTTATTCAGCCCATCCCCACCCTGGGCCAGCGTGCAGCCTCCTCAAAGGCCAGATGGGTCTGCTTTGTAGTCCCCAGTGTGTCATCAGCACTGGAGAGACATATCCTCTGTGACATCTGCTTTCCACCCACCTACAGACATCCTTCAGTGTGTGCCTCGGTTTACCCTGGGGATCCAGTTATTTCCAAAGCACTCTTTCTTTAGAGCTGACCAAAATAAGAGTTTTGTTTTTTGAGACACAGTCTTGCTATATAATTCAAACTGGCCTTGGCTATGTAGTTCAGGTTGGCCTTGAACTCACTATGTAACCCAGGCTAGCCTCAAACTTGGGCATTCTTTTTGCCTCCGCCTTCTGGTTGCTGGGATTACAGGCATGCACCACCATGACAGTCTTACTCACTTTTCTCTCTTGCTGACACCCACAGTTAAAGGGGGAAAGGTTTATTTAGCCCAGTTTGTGGAGGTTTCAGTCCATAATCAGCTGGCACCAAGGCAGGGTGGCACACGGCAGAGGGGTGTCACAGAGGAGAAACAGTTTATGGTGCCCTCACGGTAGAAAAACCAAGGAACCTTAACAGAGACTTTGCCCCTTTTATTTTATTTTAGGGCAGGCAGCACACATCAATCCTAGAGCCCTTGATCCTAGCATTGCACTTTAAATCAATCCCAGTGTCCCATACTCTAGATCCAGCTGCCTTTGAAAAAGCCCACCTTCGACTACATGGGAACATCTAAATGCAAATCATAACAATGTCTGTCACCAAAATAAGTTTTAGAAATAATACCTTGAAATACTCAAGCAGAAAAATTCCCTTACACTAGTTCCTCTGACTTTTATTATTTAGGGATGTTTAGATGCTTACATTAATTGCTCCTCGGCCTTTTGACTAAGATCAAGTGTAGATGCCTACATTTTTTTCTTGAGATTTAAATGAAAACTGGTTTCTGGTTTAAATGTCTAAAAGATAGCAAGGTAGGGGAAGATGGCTGAAATTTAATGTTTGTTTTACATTTTATTGTTCTAATGCAAATTTTGTATAGAGAACCCATAATGTTTTGTAACTTTCTAATTAAAATGTTCAAAACAGAAAGTCGTCATGTTTTCTGTTTCAGAGGCAAAGGGCTTGGAAAAGAAAGAGCAGTGGGGAGAGGTTGGGCGCACTTCTCCAAGTTACTCACTGGCAGCCTGGCGCTGCCAAAGCGCTGCTCCGGACCGTGGAGCTTTTGTCAGCTCCCTGGCAGAGGTCTCCTGGTCCAGCCCCAGTCAGTGGCGGAGTCCACAAAGCATGTGGAAGCCGCAGCATGGAAAGTTACAGCTGTGTCTGGTGAACGTCGGATTATTTCCAGATCAGAGGTTGGTAGCTCCTGAACCTAAACCACACAGCGGCGTTGCTGGAGGAAAAAGGTGAGAAAAACATAGGACTACATCAACTGAATTATGACCCAGAACTAAATCAGGGCTTGAGATAATTATTCAGTTTGGGGGCGTGGGGTGGGCGGGGGAGATTGCCCAATTTTGTCAAAAGTTTCTGTTGGAGTCAGGTGAGACTGCTGATCCCCCATTTAGGCTCCGTCGTCGTGCAAGGTTAATAAAACTGTCTTCATTTTCCCCTTCTTTTCTCCTCTCTCACTTTTCCCCCTCCCCTCCTCTCTTGCTCTTCATATTCACCTTTTTTTTTTTTTTTTTATAAACGAACTGGGAATTGAACTCAAGGTCTTGGCACTGAGCTAAGCCCCAGCCCTTTTTAATTTGTTTTTATTTTGAGATAAGATCAAGCTAAGTGGCTAAACTGCCCAGGGTAGTCTCTAATTTGGAACCCTCCTGCCTCAGCCTCCCAGAGTGCTGGGATTACAAACCTGCACCACCACGCCCCACCCCATGGCTAAGGCTCTCAATTCGTCTCGCCAGACCGCACTGAGGAAAGACTGCGCTGATTTTCACTCCCCGCGGCAGGGAGTTTCAGATCTCGCACGCCTGCGTTCTGCCCTGTGGTTGTAAGGGGAGGAAGTTTTCTGTTTCATACCGAATCTTACCCTGGGTTTGTCCGGACCTGCCGCCGCGCCTGCGCCTCTGGGTGGACGCCAGCGCCCTGCGGCTGCGGCGCCCCGGCCTCCAGGTGCCTGGGTCCCAGCGTCCAGGGCGCCCGAGGCCGAGGACTTGGGAAGCGGTCGGCGCTCGTCACTGCGCGGCCGGCGAGCGGGGAGCGGGGAGGGGCCAGGCCAAGACTTGAGCCCCGCACAAGGACCTTTTGTCCTCCCGTCCCGGGCGCGGCGGGGAGAGGCGAGGCGAGCGTGACCGTGACCGTCAGTGCGTGACGTGGGGCGCGCTCTCCGCGGGCTCTCGCGGTCACCGGATGCCTTATCTCTAGGAACCCCTTCTCTAAAGGCATGGCTTTCGAAAGCTCCCCAGGGCTTTTCCCACAGAACTTTGGACTAAGGGTGGTTTGATGAGTGAATTCTGGAACCAGATTGGAATGGATGTTGAGTCCTGTCAGCTATGCTTGGGGCTGCGGGACCTTGGGCAACTGGCCGGACCTCTCTGGGCCTCACTGTGTGTTGACTGTCCTTTCTCTGCCCTCTTCAGTAGGAAGCAAGAAAGTCAAGAGTCCAGTTTAATCCAAAAAGATGTAGGGCAGCGGTAGAGTGCTTGCCTAGCATGTGCAAGGAAACAGGCCTGAAGAACAGAAGAGCAGGTAGGGCTTGGGGATCCTGAAGCCATAAAGGAGAGTGAGTCACCTGCCAGGGCCACTAGGAAGAGTAGGCTGTGGGGGACCTGGCTTTGGGCCTCCAGGCCTGGTGTGGGTCCTGTCACAGCCTCATTTTTACCCAGAAGGTAAAACAAGCCCAGAGAGGTCGAGTGACTGGCTCCAAGTCACACATCACACTAGTAGTGGAGATGGGATTTGAACCCTGTGTGGCCATCATCCCCCACTGTCCTCCGCTTGGATGTGCCTGGCACCTTCTGCCACTCGGGCAGTAGGGCCAGCAGAATCTGGGTTTTCTTTATGCACCAGCTTGCCTGTGGATTCATACAGGATAACTGGAAGATTCCTGAACCAATAACTTACAAGTATACCAGTATGTCAGGCTTTGTTGTAAGTGATTTATTACAAATATCAACACATTCAGTCTTCAAATCAAGCCTATGAATCGGGTTATCTTTCCCCACAGGTTAATTAAGCAACTTGCAGAAGATCACACAAAAAAAGATCAAATAAGGTTTACACCTCCAACCACTATGCCATACCTCTTCCCTCTAATGAGATAGACAGGTCTTGTTTTTAGTCTCATAGATGATATAGTTACAGAAAATCATGGACAGGTGTGATAACACCATTCAATACCCCCTAATACTCAGTCCACACTGAAATTCCTCTGATTATCTCTAAAATATCTTCATGCAGTTGCTTTGTTCAAGTCAGAATCCAGACAATATCTGCCCATGGCACTTGGCAGCTCTGTGTTTAGAGTTGTTTTCTTCTAAAATAATCTCTTCCTTTTTCTTTCTATGTCATTGACTTGTAAGAGTGGTTTACTTTTAAAATATAATTAAGAGGTTAATAAGATAAAGCAGAGAACATTCTAGATTATCCCTGTAATGTGAGAGCTGCGTCAGTACCTCTGGCAACTTGGGAAGGTGCTGAATGCAGAGTTTCTACCCGACTCCCTGTGTGCATTGTTATGGAGAAGTAGGGACCTTCCAAGTTTCATGCCCTCCCACTGCAGGAGTCTGTGACTTACACCAAATTCAGTGCACTGGAAAGTGCACTTTGAAAATCCCTGTGATACCAGGATACATGTTTTTTGGTTATCATCCTTTGTTCCTGGTTTCTAACTCTTTCCCCTAGCAGGTCACAGAAGCTAGCTGTTCTCTTCCCCAAGGCAGGTAATGGAAACATTCATTTTCTACACACCTGGGATCCACTGGCTGTAATGAAATTGTTTGACCTACTTTATCTGATGGATTATAACATCCCTATTCCAGAAGGGGTCCTGCCTGTACCCTTGGGGAAGGAATGCTGCACAGAGAGGCCGAGAAGAATCTAAACAGACAGGCCTTGCTGGGTTTCCCCACCCGGGCTGCTAGCACTACATGTGCAGAGAGACGAGCACAAGAGGGTTCCCGAGAGGAGGCAGAGGAGGCAGCTTGGAGAGGCCATGGAGGCCCCACACCCCTTCCCTCTTACCCCCTCTCTCCATCTGTGCCCTTCGTAATAAACCAGCAGATGTGTTTCCCTGAGTGCCATGGGCTGTTCAGGCAAATTAATGAAACAAGAGGATCATGGGAACCTTGATTTATAGCTAGTTGCTCAGTAAAACAACCTGGGGCAGGTAAGTGGCATGGGAAATGTCTTTGGGGACCAAGCACTCAGCCTGTGGGACCTGGTGCTGTCTCCAGGGAGGAGGTGGCAGAATTGAACTGAATTGAATTAGCCCCCCCCCCCACTGGTGTCTGCTGTGGAACTGGTCACTTGCCTGCTAGTGGGGAGAAGTCCCTATAGCTTTTGGGATCGCCAGAGCCTCCTGCGGTGATAGTAGTACAAGAGTGGAAGAGAAAACAAAACCGTTCAGAATCCCCAAAGCCCCGAGCAGGGAAGGGGTTTACGCGTTTGTGTCTGCTCCCACATGGCCCAAGGTGGCTCCAGGTCAGGGAGGTGTGAGGCTCCGTTGCCAGGCTGATTTGAATTCATTGCCCAATAGATCCTCAAGGCCAGGCTGCTTCCTCCAAGGCTGGGTCATCAGGACTGGGAGAGATAGCAGGTCAGCCCTGAGCCTGAGGGTGGGCTTGGCAGCTTTGACACCTTGCTTTGCAGAGGAGATGATTTGCCATCCTGTGCCCCAGACTTCCCTACCAACTGGGTCCTCAGGTCAGCAGGAAGATGGATTTCTGGGCACCTCTCCCTGCAAGGAAAGCTGAGGTGCCCCCTTTATTTTCAGGGGTGGCGTTGGACCCAGAGCCTCCTGCATGCTAGACCAGTGTTCTACCACTGAGCTACATCCCCAGCCCTTTTTAAACTTTGAGACAAGTTCTCACTAAGTTGCTCAGGCTGGGCTGACCTTTTGATCCCCCTCATCACCCCCTCAGATGCTGGAATTACTGATGTGTGCCACCATGCCCGGCTCCTGACCCTTTTTATTTTATTTGGAGACAGAGTCTCGTTAAGTTGCCCAGGCTGGCCTAGAACTTGCCATCTTTCTGCCTCAGCCTCCTGAGTAGCTGGGGTTACAGGTTTGCACTACCACACTCGACCCATGCCTCCTTTAACCAACCAAAAATAACCACTCTATGGTTACCAAGTAATAAAGTCTGTTATAGACTATCAGAAAGATGGAGCAATGCATCTTCGTAAGAAAAGAAAAAACTGGGAACCTGACTGGAAAAATAAACACTAATATTCAGGGTATAACCTTCCACATTCTTTGTCCATGTACTGGTGTATTTTTTAAAATAGCTTTATTTAAAAATGTTATTTTTGTTTTGTTTTTGTTTTTTGGTACCAGGGATTGAACTTGGGTCCTTGCACTTTCGAGGCAAGTGGAGGAAGCACAGAGCTAGATCCCCCAGCCCCTTTTTATTTATTTATTTATTTTTGGTACCAGGGATTGAACTCAGGACCTTGCACTTGTGAGGCAAGTGTGGTGCCACTGAGCTAAATTCCCGGCCCGTTTGTTTTTTGTTTTTTGTTTTTTGTTTTGAGACAGGACGTCATTGTGTACTTCAGTCTTGCCTTGAACTCACTACATACCACAGGCTGATCTCAAACTTGTGGCAATCCTCCTGCCTCAGCCTCCCAAGAACTGGGATAACATGCATGTGTCACTCCACCCCACTAAAAATAATAGCTTTATTAAGGTGTAATTCTCGTACCTTAAAGTTCATACTTTTGTCGGGGGGGGGGTACTGGGGATCGAACTTGGGTCCTTGTGCTTGCGCAGAAGTTCATACTTTTGAAGTGTACAGTTCATTGGTTTATAGCATATTCTGTGTTATATATCAGTCACCGCAGGTTTCATCCATGTTGAACTTTATCTGCATCAGTAAGTACTTCATTCCCTTTTTTTTTTTTTGGTATGGCGGATCAAACTTGGGACCTTGCGCTTGCGAGGCAGGCACTGGAACCACTGAGCTAAATCCCCAGCTTCATTCCTTTATATTGCCAGAGAATACTCAGTTGTGTGGCGTGTGTTGCCACATTTGTTTATCCATTCCTTAACCGATGGGCATTTGGCATGTTTCCACTTTGATGCTATTGTAAATAATGCTGCTATGAAAAGCCATGGAGCTTCTGTGTGGACATGTGCTTTCTGTTTTCTTGGGTGTACAGCTAAGACTGGTATTGCTACATTCCATTGTAGCTCTCTGTTTAGTGTTTTGAGGAATTCTGAGGCTGTTTTCTGTAGCAGCCCCATTCCCACTCATGGTGTATGAGGGCTCCAACTTCTCCTCTTTCCCTAAGACTTGTGATTCTTAAATTTCTCTTTTCTTCTTTCTTTCTTCCTCTTCCTCCTCTCTCTCCCTCCTCCTTTTCTTCCTCCTCTCCCTTCTCCTCCTCCTAGCCCCCACCCCCACCCCGCCAGCTGTACTCAGAGCCCTGGGCCTGCAAGGTAACTGCACTGGCACTGAGCTACCCCTCCACCCAGCTGCCTCTCTTTTTCCTTACTGCCATCATACTGGAAGGTCCTAGTGCGTAGGCATGGTATGTCATTGTGTTTTGATTCACCTTTTCCTTGTGACTAAAAACACTGAACATCTTTCCATGTGCTTATTGCCCATTTGTGTATTTTTGGAGAAATATCTTCACCAACCCTTTTGCCCATTGGGTGACGTGGTGAAGACTGAACCAAGGTCCTTCACATTGAGATAAATATCCAGCTCTTTTTTAATTTTATATTTTGAGACAGGGTCTTACTAAGTCACTAAGTTGCCCAGGCTCAGTTTGAACTAGCAATCCTCCTGCCTCAGCCTCCCAAAGCACTGGGATTACAGGCATGTGCTACCATGTTCAGCTATACTTCCTTGCCCCACCATGAATACCCATCTTCCTCCTTGCTTCCCTCCCTGCTTTATCTCTTCTCTCCTTTTCCTTTTCTCTTCTTCTCTTTCTTTCCTTCCTTTTTATCCTTCTCCCTAACAAATATGCTAGACTCCACTGGAGCTGTTTTCTACTCTTGTTCTTCACCTAGGGTCTGCTGGTTCCTCACGCAGAATCTGCTTTGTTCAGTCATTGGGAATTCCTAAATGGGGTGGCTGCCAGCTGACACCAGACTGAGAGGAATCTGAGCCTGG